ACCGGGCGGCACCGAGCGGCACCGAGCGGCACCGAGCCGAACCGAGCGGAACCGGGCGGCACCGAGCGGAACCGTGCGGAACCGAGCCGAACCGAGCCGAACCGGGCGGCACCGAGCGGAACCGAGCCGAACCGGGCGGCACCGGGCGGAACGGAGCCGCGCGGCGCTCACCTTGATCCTCTCCACGGCCGCCTCCAGCTTCAGCTGCTCCACGAGGCGCTGCATGGTGCCCAGGCTGCCGCCCGACGACATCCCGGCGCCGCGCCCGGCACGGAGGCGCCAGGCACGGAAGGAGGGAGGCAGGGAAAGACGGAGCTAGGGAAGGAGGCAGGGAAGCAGGAGGCAGGGAAAGAGGAGGCAGGACGCAGGGAGGCAGGAGCAGGGAAGGAGGGAAGGAGGGGAGCGGGACGCAGGACGCAGGGAGGGCGGCGGGCGGAGGCACCGCCGCGGGGAGGAGCCGCGCGGCGCCGCCCACAGGCAGGAACCGCCGCGATAAAACACGGAATTCCGGGGAAAAAAACCCTCTTTTTGGGTGTTAGGGTTCGCTGGGCTGCTCGGAACTCAGCGGGAAGGTGCTCGCAGCTGGAGGAGCCGAGGAGAGGCCCCCTCGGCCACGCAGCTCCTGGAGGCCCCGGCGGAAGCTCAGTGGAAACACTGGATGAAAGGGAAAAGGCCCTGGGGTCCCCTCTGTGTGTGGAGTACGGGGTGCTTCGGATGCACCCTGCACCCTGAGCGGCAGCAGGGGTGTGTGCGGGAACCAAACAGGGCATCCTAGGGAAGTGTTGGCTGGAGAGGGGGGGCAGGAGGCGTTTCTCTCCCTTCAGGATGTTCCGCTGTCTTGGTGCACCTCTTTGCCTCTCCCAAGGTGTCATTCCTTTGACACCAGCCTCTGTTGACACACGGAGCTCCCAGCAGCCACAGCCCGGTTCGGTCACGGCCGCTCGCAGCTCCGTGCAGGGCAGCCCCCAGTATATTTTCTTCTTTAGTGCTGTCTTGTGGACTTRATTTCAAGATAAGATCGACTTAATTTACGCAGAGGGCAGGCATTAGTTTTAACCAATGCGAGCTGTTCAGCTTGAGGCGCTTCAGCAACACGCGCTAACAAAGTGTCACTGCAGAATAACTGCTTTGTAGGAGATTTGTTTATTTCTGTCTCCATCAGGGAGGCGCAACCACAGCGCCGTTTACATTGCCCTTGAATCCACACCCACGTTGGATATTTTCGCAGGATTCACACAGGGAGAACAGCAGGAACTGCGGGTCCACGCTGCAGCACACACTGCTGCGCCCGCCTGGCACCTCTCCGCAGGGCCAGGCCGMAGCCCCAGGAGCGCGGGACGCTGCTGCCCCAGTGGGCCGAGMGCGGCCGCAGGCGAGTGAGCTCCGCTGCTTTGCCCCAGGAGCAGCAGCGGGTTCAGAGGCTCCAGCGCTCCTCACGCAGCTCCCGCTTTCCCCACGCGCTGAGCTGGCCCTTCAAACACGGAACCCGCGGGGCTTACAGCCACCCTGCACAGAAGCAGGTGGAGGGCAGCTCCATCACATCCTCTGAACTGTGAGAATCCACAACTAAATTAACCGCCCGAACACACTTTCGAGTACAGAGTTGCTGTTATTTAAAACAGAAAACTGAGACAACACTGCAAGAATTAGTGAAAGTCAACATAGCAAAAAGACAAATTCAAGCTCGATATTATAATAAACTTTTATTTACATAAGGCATCAAAATTGCCCTTTTAAAGAAAAGGGTCATTTTCCCTTTATCAATACTTTGGTGAAAAAAAAGTCAGATTTAATAGACTATTCACTGGTACACTTGTTCTGAACAAGTAGATACAATCCAAAGTACAAGATTAAAAACAAATATTTAAGCATACTACTTCATTATCACTCTGTAGAACAAAGAATTAAGGCTTGTTTGCATCACAATGATGATCCATCATGCATCATTTATTCCCACAAAAAATAAAATTCAAAATTCCAATTGGACCAGGGATAGCTGAAGAGAAAGCTTATAATCCCCAACCTATAGGTATAATCCCCATACTGTAGGTATAATCCCCATACTACATCAAAAATRCAATTTGGCATTTCAGAAATTGAGAATTAGGGAAAAGAGGAAGGCGGAAAATGTCCCTTGCCCCAGTGTCCATTTGCAGAATTACTTCATTCTTGAAAAGGAAAACAAGGACTTTCAAGGGTTGATCTGAATATTTGTGGAAGATGAAAGTTATGGTTCCATTGATCACAAATAATGAAATATGTAGAGGAAAATACATCTGAAACAACAAATTCCAAATCACAGATCCACTCTGATATCCCCAAGTGGAAAATATACATTGAGCTAAGCCTGTTCAATAGATCTGATTTATAAAAATGGTAAACCTGTAATATTTTTCAGCCTGATTTAGTAATTCCTGAGTTTTAGATCACTGCTGAGCCTTAGCAGATAAAACTCTGAATAATGTAGTGAAAAAGCTTTGCAAGACAGTTTCAACATTAGTGTACACTCGTCAGGTTTCAGTCATCAATAAAAGTTAGTCTTCCAGGTCCTTCATTTCTCATCCACCTCCGGTATCTTTTCCACCGTGGATCCATGGCCATCTTCTTCTTTAACTCCTCCTCTTGCTCTTGTTTGTAGACCTGACAAGTACATAAGACTTTCAAATATAGTTGAAGAAACATTTCAAGTGAACCAACCCAAATGCAGATTTAAGAGTTGATGGTTCTGCTATTTCCAACTTACTGATTTTAAAGAAAACTGAATTGCACCACTGGCAGAGCCGGACTAACATGCAATGTAAGATTACCTTCAGCCAAAAAGTTGGGTTACTCTAAACATTTTTGCTGACAGTAGAACTCATTATTTTAAGACTGTACTGTAAGCACTAACAATTTTTCACTAAAAGTTTATGATACAGGTTTATGACAGTATCATCTGAACTGTTCCTTAAGGGAACTAAGATTATGCCATGCAAAAGAAAAAAAAARWTTTTTTTAATACTATAGACAGCTTTACTTAATCACCAGTTATCAAATACGCATATGTATTGTAAGAATTGTTAGGAAAGTAGTAGAAGAAAAAGATAAACCAGCGTTTTATTGTAGAATGCTATGTGGTATCTGTGTACCAAATTTCTGGTCTTACCCCACTACCCGAAAAGGTACTGTAAAACTGAACAGTATGCAGACAGAAAAGAGCAAAGATCAGAGGCACAGAAAAACTTGGAAACAAACAAACACACAGAAAAACCAAAAACAACTAACTTTTTAGCCTAGAAAAGACAAGAATAAATAAGGATATAGTAGTGCTCAGGATAAATACAGGTAGCATAAGTAAAGAAAACAAAGAGAATTCTCCTCCTTTAATACAAGAATTGGACAGTGAATGGCTTCTTGAATACTCCAAGTTTTAATGGGTTCAAAAAGCAATCGGATGCATTTACTAAAGCAAACTCACTAATACTGTCTATTTCCTGGGAAAACACCATTTCATGTTTAGAAATACCCAAAGCTGTGGACTGTACAGGACAAATACTGCTGTGTAGCTGCCAGACTACCTGGTCAATACAGCTCTGGTCAATACAGGTTTTTTATCCTCCGTGTTCAAAACCACATTAATTAGGAACAGTGTAGATCCTAAAAYCATCCTAAGTTCTTCACAACAGAAAATCCATTTTGTTTTCATCTGTTTCAAATGACATCTGCTTTGCCTGGTAACAATACTAAATCTTTGGACTTTTATCTTGTCTTCCAGAAAGCCCAYTGTAACTCATGCTTATTTATCTGTTAGCTAATCCTTCACCTACATTATCAATGTGGCTTCTTTCCTTKTATGTTTCTAAAGGAGTCCACCTCTCCCTGTTTTTTCCCTTCTTCAACAGCAGAAAAACAGCTCTGCCACCATGACTGCAGATGAACAGCAGCAATGTTTCCTCCTCCCCTCAAGGCAGCCAATTTCCTATTCATAGATTCTTTCCCAGAAGCCACCCATCCACACAGCCTAGAGAGGAGCTTAACTAGAACAATAAAAGGACTTTGTCAATTTACGAACTTCTGGCATCCCAGATCACTCTCAAATGCAAATTTCATAGTGTGGATAATGTTCTTTTACTGTCTCACAGGAAACTTTAAAAAAACCCTTACATCTTCACTAGCAATAGAGTACTCTTGCAAAGTATCAGTTGTGTCTTATAGTATCCTCTATATATAATCTTTACTTGAATAAACACAGCACAGCAAGAACAACCCCTGAATCACTGAAAATAAAAGACAAATAGCAAGTTGAGGAAGAATGGTTCAGGAGACAAACTGGAGTTTCASAAGATCTGGGTAAATTTTAATATGAATTATTACTGCTTAGAGGATCTACGTTCTGCACCTTAGCATAAAGTTGTTTTATAAGAATCAATTTTGAATCAATAGATACCTTGGCAGTTAAGTGTGGATGACCTCTGACCAAGCAAATCTTTCCTCCAGCCAGTCTGAGAACACTAGATAATAACCTTAGTTCTCACCACAGCTACTTACCTCATAGTTCTCTCGTATCCACAGCTGCCGCTCAAGAAAGGTTTCTTTTTGATGATCTTCTAGGCTGTCAAACTGAGACTGTGACATTTTCATGTATCTCCGTATGATATAAAGCTTCTCTTCCTCACCATATTCCTGCCCTTTAATAGTGAAACAATAAATCCACCAACAGTACCAAACTATGTATTTGCACAAATAAAAAGGAGCAAGAAGAATTTGAAACAGAAGGATATCATATATCTTGGGCTTCTGGTAACCGCCTTTTATATCTATTTTATTTTTGATAATGTCTTTGATGATTTCTTCCTCTTCTTCACGAATTTCTTCCTTAGATCGCCTGTTTTTGCCTTTTTCTTTATTCCTGTTGAGTAAACCTTGTTGCCTGGCAATCTCAGTAGCTTGTATGCGATATTTTGGCACTGTTGCTAGGTAGTTGATAGCTTCATTATAACTACTCCACCAACTGAAGAACTGTAGTATAAGAAGAGCAAAAATAAAAATTTTTATACAAAGGCATACTTTTTTTCTATCAGAAGCTTAGGCAGAAAAGCAAAAACAAACAAGACATGCTCTGTCATATACCTTTAACCATTGATCATATTATTAGTAAAAAAAGAAGGTATTAGTTAGCACTTCTGTAGTATCAGAGAAACTATACTTAAGAGTTATTCCTCCAAATTTGGTAACTGGGAAACAGCTATACAGAGCAAATAGCAACGGATAGTGACTAAAGTAAGGAAGAGGCTAAGCACACTCTTCAACCATTTCCAAGTGAACAGAAACAGTTTATCTCCTATTACTCTAAACAAGGCTTATGTTAGACTATGCCAGCCATTCCCTAAATCCCCTTAGATTTATTTTTAAATTAAATAAAAGATCTCACACTTTGATCCAGAGGTGCTATGATTTTTTTTGTATTTTTTACTTGCCAATAATCTATGTTTATTTCTCAAAAATGCCTCTGTACCACAGAATAATGCATTTGTTTCTACAGCTCTTAAATATGATATTTTGTTTTATGTAAGGAAATTCTGAATTACTATATTTAATAGATACTGAAGAAAATGTTTATATAGCTTCTTCTTCCACCTAATAATTGTCAGCAAGATCACCAGTGTTATCAGAATACAAATTGCTTTCTTGAATTTGTAAATACCATCTTCAGAATGAACTTCATTGAACCAAATTCAGTCGTTCTCCCTGTAGTCTTTAAAATAAACTACAATGTAAGATAAACACATTAAAAATACACAATCCCAATATTCAGCTGTATGATCACTATCTARTTGTGAATGCAGTATCATGTTAGTCTTTATTTTTTAAAAACACATGCAGTTCAAAAAACTGAATCATGCTACTTTGGGACTTCAGTCTTGATTATGCTGAGGTACAGGCTGTTCATAACCTATCCCTCAGAATTAAGTTGTTTCTTCGGGAGCGCGGGAGTTTACTGTTTGAAATACGCTAGCACCAAAGGAATTGGTTACACAACCCATGCCTTTGTCCAAGGTCAGGCGAAATCTGCCCGSTACATCCTGACTTCAGGTTTGTTATGGATACCACAGAGAAGTTTACCAAAGCAGATAAAAAAAGTCTCCCCTACTGATACTGTTTGAAACCCATCAGGTTTCAAGACTGGTGAATATTTCTCTTCAGCTCAGAGCCTCCCYGAGCAGCATCACATATAACCAAGAGTTTTACCTGAAACACGGAGATGGCACACACTGTAACCAGGATCACTATTCTGACATCCACTTTTGGTGCTAGCCTTCTGCTGTAGTAGTGATAATAGTGCCTGTAATATTCCTCAGGATGATCCAACATATAATCATAATCTTTACGTGTTTCTTCATCCTGCAACGAGAGAGATGAAAACACACACAACAGTTCAGATTCCTAATTTCACTTACTGAGTCATATCCATGTTTTACACCTCATTAATGACCAAGTTGTTATGAAGTCTGAAACAGCTTGATTTAATTACATCAAAAGCATGCAATAATACAGTTTTCAAGTCCCTTGTCAATGTGATCTAAGCTGACCYGCTCTGAGCACAGAGCTGGAGTAGAGACCTACAGTGGTCCCTACCAATTCAAATTATTCTAAGATCCTGTGACATACAGAAGAAATTCTTTGGTCCTTTCCTTGTATTCCGGCACCCTAAATTAATTACCTCCAACACTCATCTGCCCACAAAAAACCTGACAGATATAGACTTAACTTCATATATGTACACTGCATAAAGACAAATAATAATATTTAATAATATTTAATATTTAATAATGAGACAAAATAAGAAGCTGAAATTCAAAATGGCATTTTTAGTATCAGAACTGGAATTCCAAATGGACTTTTCTCAAAAAAAAAAAAAAAAAAATCAGATGAAAGCTGCTGAAATCCTGTTTTTCAAATTTTTTGGAATTAACTTACAGGACTTTGGAATCTCCCCAATGGAAGGCCATTTCAAAACCTCATTGTTCCCTTTTTTATTGATGGTTGTCTTTTGATTAAAATACGCGGCTTTATCAGTCACAATTATATCTTGTTTCTATTCCAAAAGGTTCTATTTTGTTATTTTTTTCCTCTTCAGCCTTAACRTATTTGACGGTTTGCTTCTTGTTTCTTCCATTCCACAGGTGTGCCTTTGCCAAGGCACATGTATTTTGCCACGATAAACTTTCCTTACAGATCACTTAATCCACTTAATTCAGTTACTATGTTATTTAAAGGTAAATCTCTGAAAAAGTCTGATCAGTTTATTTTAAATTCTTTTTTTTTTTTTAGCATCTCCTACACTCTTGAAGTAGCTATTGTAAAATGTTCCCTTTTCTTCTACCTGTCTCACTGTTGGTAGAGGACAAGTTGGCTAAGCTCACACAGCAGAAGGAAAAATTGATTTGGCACAATCTGTTGCAATATGCACAAATGTTAATCCAAAAGATCTGTTTTTTTTTTCCTGCCCTCTGCAGGAACAAGAAGCCAGTGATATTCTCAAAGTGTGAATTAACCAAGTCAAACGGAATCCTGATTTTTAGACTCGAGTCTCCTGATATGCATGTCAAATCTAGATGGAGCAGGTGAGAAGCTGCCACAGAAGAGGTGGAGAAAAATCACACACCTTTCAGCATTTTTCCAAAAACCAATTTTCTTCTAGCAACACATTGGTGCTTAACGGTGCTTTGCTACCCACTATTAATTTGCAAGCATTTGCATGTGAAGATGTAGTTTCAAATCTGGTAAATAAAACAGGACACAGATACATCTCTGGATGATACACTGTGGGCAGCAGTATTTTACTCTTTCTGGACCATTTTGCTATTTCTGAGCTATTTGCCAGCTGGATCCCGCTGGCCCAGGTGCACAGACTCAGCGCCCTTTGGAACGGCGGCAGGAGCACGTGCAGGCAGCGGCAGCGCATGGCWGTAAGCGACGGGCGGCAAGGAGGGCCCGCGAGGGCTCCTGCAGCTCCCAGCGGCGCCCCCGGAGGAAACAGGAGGTGGCGAGGCTCTCCGCGCCCGGGCTCACACTCCCCTGGGCACATTCCTGCCCTGTTCCCCGTGGACACGAGCCCCGGGGGCAGCGCCCGCCCGGGCGCTCCGCAGGGCCGCCCCGGGGRCGGGCGCCGCACACGGCGCGGGCCGCGGGCAGCCACCGGGCGGGCCGGCCCCGCTCCCCGCGCTGTCTCTTACCGGCCGGGGCGGCGCTCCCGCTCTCTCACCTTGAGCGTCTCGTAGGCGGTGGCGATGAGCAGGAACTTGTCGTGCGCCGCCTCCGGGGAGTCGCCGCCGCCCGCCGCCGCCTCGCCGCGGTAGCGGTCGGGGTGGTACTGGCGGGCGAGCTGCCGGTATGCGCGGGCGATCTCGGCCTTGCTCGCCTCGCGGCTCACGCCCAGCACGTCGTAGCACACGCGCCGCCCGCAGTACAGGCCCTCCGTCAGGGCCCGCGCCGGCTGCGGCAGCAGCGACAGGCACAGCCACAGCACCCACCGGCCGCCATCGCCGCGGCCGCCCCGCGGCAGCGCCGCCATCTCCCCGCGGCGCGACAACAGTGGCGGCGCCAACAGGGAGGACGTGGCCCGCCCGGCGGGAAGGGCGCGCGGGCGGGACCTCAGGCAGCGGCCGTTGCGGGGCGGAGCGGCCGTTATGGGGCGGGGCCTGAGGGAGGCAGACCTCACAGGCGGAGCGGCCGTTATGGGGCGTGGCCCGGGGAGAGCCGTCATTACAGGGCGGAGCGGCCGTTATGGGGCGTGGCCCGAGGGAAGCCATTATTACAGGGCGGAGCGCCTGCTTTGGGGCGAGGCCCGAGCGGGGCGACCGTTAGCGGGGCGGGGCGACCGTTAGCGGGGCGGGGCGACCGTTAGCGGGGCGCGACTTCGGGGAAAATGCCGTTACGGGTCGGGCCCCTGAGAGGCCGCCGTTACGGGCGGTGCGCGTTTCTGGCGGAGGAAGCCCAGTGCCCGTCGTTTCCTTTTGTGTAGGGATGAGGGACCCCCATCCTGCCGTTCATGAAGGGTTCCCGGCTCTGGGCAACCGTTTGTTTTTGTGTCAGCAGGGGTGCTCCTCCCTGGCCCTTTATTGGAGACGTTTGTAAAAATCATCCGCAGGGTGTTGCCTCCTGCTGAGTAGCACTGAGAGAGGTTAGATGTGCTATGAAAGAGTCCTCCTATGGGACACTGGGTGACTTGGCACACCATTGACTGCTCCAATTAAATGGACATTCATTGTTTTTACATTCTTTGAGATTACGGCTTTTTACCTTGCAGAGAAAACTCTGGTTGCATCAGATTAAATACCCTTTCAAAGGGCTTGACAGAGGTAYAGAGGTGAAAAACAAGTGGAAATACTGTGATAAGGTTAAATACATCCGATGAGCATCCTCTAGCATACACACATTCATGGGTGTGTCTACAGTGTGAAGCAGCTTCCACACAGGTTTGCATGCAAAGCTAGTCCTAGCGCACGTTAACTGCACATGATCAGGAGGACAATGTCCAGGAGAACATTTGGAAAGGTCACCTGAGCATGCTTARGTGTTAAAACTGATTTACCATTACAGTTTTATGAATTACAGTGATAAACTCGATTTCATATCTCAAAATGGATTTGCCTCCACAGTATGTTGGGTTCTTAGCCACTGATGTGGAYTATAAATCAATTAGCTATCCGTAACGATCAGAAGATCAATAGTGAATGCACATTAGATCACTAGAGAATGCAAAAGGGTGTTTTTTGTTCTTGTTGTGTCTGTCATCATCTTCTGGTTCTTCTTCYCTTATTCTTTAATTTTCACTTGTTCTGTCTTCCAAGGATAAATCTTTTGAAATATACCCTGAATGCACTTTTAATTGCTGTCCAGTTTTGTTCAGGTTCCACTATCCATTTTTCTGTCGGATCAGTGTGATCTGTTGGCCTGTAAACCAATACTTTTGGGAGTCCATCTTTTTGTTAAGAAGGATGAGACAGTGTGCTGGGAACCCTTCTCGAGCTGCTGTCGTGTGATGAAGGGACCAGATGCCATGGATGATGGACCACAAGAATGAGTCCCAACATGAGGATTTGGCATCACAGCTGCTGTGGAAGGACTGTCTTGTTAGATATTTGTTACGCAAAGATTTGCTTTGATATGAGGACTGCATCTCTGTTTCAGGATAACTGGCAGGAACATTACCACAATATTGAACCTAGAAAACTAGATTTACGCTTGATGCTAGAAATAACTGATCACAAAAATGTTCTTTTTATCAAATGACTCATGTTGTTCTGGTAGAACTGAGTATCTTTATTATGCTTTAGACCTTCTCTATCTCCTCCTTGCATAAACAGGTGTTCTTTCCAAACTCAGTATCATTTCCTTGACAGATGGAGAAATCCAAAACCTACTTCCTTAAATATTTCACCTCCTTTCAGCTTATTAGAGTTCTGCCTCTCACCACTCGATTTAGTTCTTTTGGTCTYGGACTTGGCAACTAAAGTAAATCAGTTGGCAGCTTTGTCATTCAGTTTTTCAAGTTGAGAAGAAATCTAGCTTTTTTGTATTTGCTTCTGCAAAAATGAAGGTGTTCCAGAGTTGTTTTYAGAGTTCACTGACCATGAACCAGAGCTCATGAGCACTGTGGCCACTGCTGATAGCATCCACAGGCTGCTGGCWGTGCATATGCACAGCAGCCCCGCCATGTGTAAGGCGATCGTTTACATTTTATTCACTGGTGACAGTACAGGCTGATGCTGATTCATAGAGAAGAACTTGCAGTTCCTACTACTGGAGGAGATCATGTCAGAAACAAATCACAGAAAGTTTTATTAATAATTTAGTAATACACTTGGCGCCAAAARATTTACAGTCCATGTCGTTCCCAGTCAATTGGGAAACATCTGAGGATCTGACGCCAGCATTAAAGCAATGCCAAATAGACAGCACATGYACTGCTGTAAATCATACTCTGAAAGTATCTTCTTTTAGAGCCTTGTCAATACATTCTTTAATGTGATTACATTTGGTACTGATTGGCTGCAGATGGTGTGTATTGGTTACAGACTTTCTACCTCAGGCTTCATATATCAGCATCGCCAAACTTTAAGCCATTTGAAGTGGTTTAAAATACTAATTTATCTCTTTAAAGTATATAATACCTCAGCAATAACCTTATACTAAAAAATGCAAGGCAGGGAGGTGAAAATTCCTAAATGCTTATTACGATCTTAACCCATAGCTACCTCAAAAGCAGAGACAGATGTGTGAGTAGATGTGCTGGTGGCCATCCCCAGCAGCCAATCTTGGCACCTACAGCAGCTCTGTGTTCTCCAAGTGAAGTTTGCATGGAAGGCCAAAGAGTGGAGGCCAAGGAAGCTGCAGCCACAGGGGTGGGTGGCCAGTGGAGGGGCTCAGTCCCCTCTGCCCCACAGATGGAGCTGGGCAGGCTGCAGGAAGGACGGCACCTTGCATGCACTTTCCATAATACGTAGGTCAATTGATAGCTTTGGCTCCCACGTCCAGGGCATCATCAGTTCCTGAGGAGGTCTTGGATCACAGCCTCAGTAAGCCTCAGTAGTGATTAATTTCACTTCCAAAGCGATCTATAAAAGTTTCCAATGAGAAATCTATAGTTTCCCATGCTCCTTTCTTGTAAAYGTTGCAAAGCAGCTGAGCTATTGAATGAAGGATGTTTAATTCTCTCTTGACCTCCTGGATGCCATGCCTAGCTGCTTGAGGTACCCCCGTGGCATTAGTTCAGTACAAAAGATTGTTGACAATTTTGAATCGTAGACTACCAGTAGATGCATGGTGGGAATTTAAGGTTCATACGGCCTCACATTTTTTTGCTCTGTTTGTACAGTATGAGTTGTTTAAGGAACCTGTTCCAACTTGCTAATAAGTCATTACTCAGAGGTTGGTAGGGTAAGGAGAGTGCGTAAGTCCACTTAACTCCATGTTTGATAAGATAATTCTTTGCATGGAGTTGCTCCCAATATTCCCATTCCCAAACATCTCAATTCCATATSTGACCATTGTGCTTTGCCCAGTTTCATACCCATTGAGTAGCACCGGCCCAAACAGCATAAGAATCGGTGTCTATGATCTGTGCACCATTTCCTGGAGTCAGCACCAGAGCAGAGAGATCGTTTAGCTCAGAGAAATCCACTGTTTGCTCCGTCACTGTGCAGGTCCTGCCAACGGATATGGCGTCAGCTGTTCCTTCCCACGTGCCCTGTGTTTTGCAAGCACTTCGTCAGACGCCATCTGCCTGATGGGGGCTCAGTTCACAGGCATCTCAGATAGGAAAGAATCGTGGGTCTGTGTGTTCAATGGCTGTTCCAATACGCTCTGCAGCTTCATAACATCATTCTCTGTAATTAATCCATCCATGGTTACATGATGATCGCTATTATAAGGTCTCCTTTTGTGCAGTGGCCTTATGTACTACCTCAGAGGGTAGTGGCTTGCCCACAAGCAGGAGATTAAGAATAGGTATAAGCACATGCACTTTCACAATGCTTCCTTAGGCCAAGGGTTCAGTACTTACTAGTCCTTCATAAGCTGTGCACAGCATATTTTCCAAGGGTGAGTAGTTGTGCTGGGCAAGGTRCCATGATTTGGAGCCAAAGGAACAGGGCATTCCTTGGGACTAGAAAGAGCTTATCGCCATAGTCTCCACCAAAACCCCTTTTTCTCCACTTGGATATACATGAGAGGTTGGATTTAGACATACATTTGCCTTTACAAACTCCAGATGTAGGCCCATTCTCCAATCTTATTTTTTCTTAGCTATRTAATAGATACACTGCATACTATTATACCCAAGGTATATCTCCAGTCCCTAATAACCACCCTTTATTCTCAGAGATGGTAACTGTCAGATTTCTTGTAGCACTTCAGCCCYGTCTCTTTTCCTCCCATCTGTCTGACTCTCAGAAGGTGCCTTCCCAATGGAGTCCTTCCTTATTTTCTCCCAGTATGTCTTTCCAGAAGATACCATACAACAGTGGCCATGGCCTGCTTCACAGATTCTGCAGGGTGGCCACTTTAGGTTGTCACCTGTGTACTGTACAACACTGACCTCTTCTGGTAGTTTCCATGTTTCTAGTTCAAGTCCAACTGTAAGCCCCTCACAAGCCAGCCTGCTAAACCATGTCCCTAAGTGCCTCATCCACACGTGTCTTGGGCACTGCCAGGCTAGGGGACTCCACCATTTCCCTGGGCAGCCTGTCCCAAAGCTTCATCACTCTGTCTGTGTAGAAATCCTTCCTAATGTCTAACCTGGGCCTCCCCTGGTGCCACTTGAGGCCATCTCCTCTTGACCTATCAGTAGTTATCCTGGAGAAGAGACCGACCCTGGCCTCACTACAGCCTCCTCCAGGCAGCTGTAGAGAGTGATGAGGTCTCCCTGGAGCTGCCTCCACACTAAATAACCC